CATAGGCACAAAAGTGTTATGTACTATTAAAGACATAGGCACAAAATGCTAGCCACAAAGTGCCAGACACAAGTGTTAGGCAAAATGCTAGGCACAAGTGCTAGGCAAAGTGCCAGGCAGAATTAAATAATAAATATTCAATTTTTGTGCCTATATTCATGCCCATGCTGATTTTTTGTGCTTATGCTTATGTTCATGTCTGAGTTTTTGTGCTCATGCCCATGTCTAGATTTTTTGTTAGACACAGACATAAGCCTATATTGCAGACTTCTAATATGTATGTATCTATAAAATTTAATTTCTATATTTTATGCTTTTATTAAATTATTTTTGAATAACAATTTCTTGTGCTTTGTAAAATTTTAGTAGCTTAAATAAGATTGTAAATGCTAAATAAATTTTATACTAAAAGACATTAAGTAATGAAATACAAAGCTTTTTTTTTATTTAATAAGTCCTAATCTTATTAACAAACTAACAAGATGTAATAGCTAACTACAAAAATTTACAATAATAAGTATTGTATTCTATTTTTAAATTTATATTATACATAATACTAATCATATTGATATTTTACAACAGTAAAAATGTTTTTGTTTTTATAATATTTAAATTTTTTTTAATAAAGTAAGAATATATATAAAGCCTCACCACTAATATTTAAAAAAATAAAAAAAAAATATATATAAACACTACTATTAGTTAAAAAATTTATCTAAAGTAGTTTGTTTCATTGCATTTTTCATTTTTAAATTAAAATATTGATCAAGAATATTAATATTTTTTAATAACTTTATTAAGTCTTTCTGCTGCTATAAAAAGAAAAAACAATTTTCAAACCTTTGAATATATTACTAGTACTTATAATTAAAGGTTCAATATTATTATCAACATCTTCATCACTATTAATTTGCTCTTCTGGTATTTTTTTATATAATTCAACGATTTTTTGAATAATCTTATTATCATTAGGAGCTTTATAAGTTATTTTTTTATTTGAATTGTTTAAAAACTCTTCAACTGACATCATATTAGATAGGTTAAGAGCTATAATATCTTGGGCAAGCTCTTTCAAGGTCAGAGTATTGTTATTAACAAATAATTCAGTATCAGAAATGTTAAGAAGAATATTAGTATGATTCTAACAGTTTTGAATAGTTTCTGAGATTATTTCATTCCAACTTTTAATAATATAATTTATTATTTGTAATATATTCATTTTTAAATTTTTTATATCTTTTTTTTCTTGAATCTGATTTAGACTCTATTTAATATGCAAACTATGATAATGTCTTTTAAATAATATTATGATTTCTATATCTATTAGTTGAATTTTAGATATAGTATTTAAGGATAAAAAATAAACATCAACATTTGAAAGAGTTAAATCATCTATTTTATAGCTTTTGCAATTATCAAGAAACAACAAAACCTTTTCATTTTCATATTTTTTAGCTATTCTTTATTAAAATTTTGAAGCCAATCTTGAAAAAGAGTTGTTAGCATCTAAGCTTTTTTATTGTTGCAATATGTTATTGGTAAGATATTAAGCTTAATATTTGTAAAACATTATGGTTTTGCAAATTTTCTAATAATTAGTAGATTTAATTTATAAGACCTACTAGCATTTGCATATAAAGCAATAGTAATTCTTTTTTTATCTTGTTTGTGATCAGATAACTATTGTGTAGCCAATGTTTTATCAGATTTTAATCTATAAAAAAGACCAGTCTTGTTCATGTTATATATTCTTTTAAAAGAATAAGCTTTAAATTTACTTTTTAATAATGATAAAGCATCAGCAATAGCTGCCATATTAGCTAATAATGCTTTTTCATGAAGTTTTTGTTAACAAATTCTATCATACTCTTTAAATTTATATAACCATTTAGCAGAAAATTTTAATGTTCCATCTGAAATTCCTAAACCTTTAGCTAATTGTTTTGCTTTCTTAACTAAAATAGCTTTACTTAAAATAGCTTTATTTTGATAAGTTAAAATAAATTTCTTTAGAGCAAGTTTATACTTGGGAACTACTACAGATTTATACCATTTAGCATCAGGTTAGATAATATCAGAGCTAATTATTTTTTCACTTTTTTGTAAAATTTTTGTTATTATTGATTTATCTACTCTAACTGTCTTTTTTTCAATGCTTTTTTTATTATAATAATTTTTTTTGTTTCTTCAAAATAGAAAAACATTCAGACTAAGATAGAATTTTAATTATTTTGGTCTTTTTGTATTTTTTTAAAAACTTTTAAACTGTTATTAGGTTATATTTAATCTTATAATTAATTTTAGTATTTATTATACTAATATAAGTAAAAATTATTTTTTCTTTTTTTTTAGTTATTTGTTTACATAGCATTTTTATATAAAATTTTTTTTTAATTTATACTTAGTTCTTTTAATGTCAAAGAAACAAAAAATAAAAAATTGCTTCAAAATTTATAAGAATAAAAATATATAAATGTTTTATTTACTTATATATAATAATCTAAAAATTAAGTATTATTTTTGTTAGATATAATACTAATTAAAAATTTTTAAATTGCTTTTAATTTTATTTTTTTTATTTTTTTTTATTTTTTTTTAATTTTTTTTATTTTTTTTATTTTTTATTTTTTTTCTTAAGCAGTTATAGTAGTATTTTATTAAACTATTTGTAGCTACATATATAAATGCAGAATATTATTTAACTTATAAGTCTATCATTATTCAGTTATTCAAACAATATCTAAATGTAACCTATCACACTAATCCGTTAGAACTAAAAATTATGACTTATCTGACTCCTATTC